GCAATTTGTTAGGTTTCCCCAACAATTTGCCGGTACCCATTTATACTCCTGGGTGGAGAGAGGCACTGTGAGAGTTAAGTGTCTTGCTCAAGACACTTAAGGAGGTAAGTAAAAATGATGGACATAGAATTGAATTAAAGGTTCAACTCCCTGTTTACTTACAATTAACATACACTGTAAGACGAAACCTGCTTTATTATGTCAACTAACGCTAATGTTAGGAACTTATCACACAAAGATGCATGTACATCTTGGTTTCCTTTAGGATGGTGTGGTTCACATGTCCCTGTCCCCAGATGGTACCAAGCTGGCAGCCCTTCATTTGTCAGGAGCCTTGTCTTTGTGGCAGGTGCCATCACTTAGGCATAAGAGAACATGGACGCAAGATGATCAGGTACTTTTTAAAGGGGCTCTTGGTCATTGGCTATTGCAGGTTTCAGTGGTTTTTGCTGCCAAAATTTACCACACCTCATGAATTACATCTAAGTGTAGTGAACTGAATTGGTAGAATAACACGAATTGTATATTAGAACCTGGCTTTAAAAGTATGTCCAACAGTCACAATGATGCAGCTACAATGTATGTCATCTCTTAAATAACTGTAACATACAGGTATAGCAAAGAAATCACAGACACCAGCCATAGTTTTAGGTTATTTTATTTGGCATCTCTGCTGTTTTTTTTGTGATACATGGCAGTTTTTCTTATGTTCAATTCCTGGCAGCCTCCAGTCAAACATCACGAAGAACGTCCTGGATTCCCAGCATCAAAACCATTGGATTCTACCAAGGGTTGGTTTTAAAAAAATGCACCTTTTACATATTAGGTGGAACAGTTGATAAAATATAGCTGAAGATGTTTCCCATCATTGATGATCAGTGTTAATTACTAATCACAGATTTCTGGTAATACTGATAGAGATTATGATACTAATAGTGAATTTCAATAACAGCAAGGCAAGCCTCAACTTATGTACTGTAAATTTCTTTGTACTTTTCCAACTAAGGCTTCATGTAATAATGGAAAACATCTGTTGTATTATTGGCTCTTGTAACGTTATTTTTATTATGTTTTTCTGGTCTAATTGAGGGTTTTATAACCTTTAAAACTGATGTTGTTTTAATTGTTTACATTCTTAGATACTTCCTTTTATGGTTTAATGGATGTTAATTGGTGGACTGAGGAGGTGAGATGAACCTGAAAAAATAATGTTTTAGTGTTACTTTATCATTCATGTGTAAATACTTCAACCAAATAAATATCAAAAGTAAACAAATGGGAATTAAATTAAATTAAACAAAGATTATGGACTACTAGCACAACATGTGTACTTTGAGCGGACAAACTTGTCATCTGATGTATTAAAACCAAAGACTTCTGTGTGTTACTTGTTAGAATACCAAAGATTCTGTTTGGTCAGATACTTCTACAACTAACAATGTTGTCCAGGTTCTATGTACCCCTGTAGGTCAATGTGCACTGTCTAATAGGTTTTTTGACCCAGTCCATGACTGTAGTTGTCGTGCAAGGGAGGGGAGGCATAGGTGACTCATCTCCCACCCAATCTACCCATGTGCCAGCATTTCAAGTGAAAAATTTGCCAAATGAATGTGTTAAGCTTATTACATTGTTGTCCTACCAGGCTTTAATTCTGTCTCACAGCATAGGAGCATTAACTGTATCATCCACGGAACAAAGGTATGGAGAATAAATTAACATTTTTGTGGCTTCTGGTTGAAAAAAATCTCAGTTAGGCCTGTGCTTGGAATAGCCATGAAATGATGACTAATACTAATGTTCAAAACAGCTCCTTCCTACCGTGAGTTTTAAAGTGAGTAAAAATTGTAATATTTTAAGGATGGTGCCTACTAAATACAAAAGTTTTTGTCCCAGATTAGGACCATGCGGATAAAGTAGATCTTTGCAAGGTCTATTGGAATCCACAAAGAAAAATGGGGGTAGCCACACATTTTTTCAAGATAATTAGCCTTGAGTCTCAACAAAAATGCTGACATCAGCATTTTTCTGGAAAAGAAGGAAAGGATATTTCTTCACAGATTCCATTTGAATTTGCCCTTACATACAGAAAAGCAAACACGTTTATAAAGATCTTAAAACTACATGGTAACTGGTAACATAAAAACCACTTTTGGTAATTGCATCAGTGCTTTTAGCGTCTATGACAGCCTTCCTCTGGTTCAGCTAAAATACAGTCTGAAATAGCTTTTCCTTACAACCAGAAACTGATCATGTGTTGAATAGGCTTGCCACCTCCATTTTATAACATAAAATGTAGGGGTTACCACGTGTTTTTTAGTGCAAAGTGGACTATTGGGATGGTTTTGGGGGCTGCCATCCGCTAAGGCACTATGGAACTAAGGCTTTATGGAAAGTAAGTCCTAAGGCGCTAAGGTGTAAACTTTAATGTTTATTTTAATTAATTAATTAATTAATTTCAATTAATTAATTAGTCTAGAGGCAAGGAAGTGGTTGGGGGTGGGGTGGGAGAGGTACTTGTGCACTCTATGAAAGACATGTCCCACCTACGCCGGTTGAGTATGAACATCGCAAAGCCATATATTTGTTTCAGAAAACCCCTTGCTCTCCTTGTGGTACTATTCTCTGTAGAACAAAACCAATTTGCTCTATAGGCATGACAGATAAGTTAGCATTCGTATCTTCTATATATTAGGCAGAGGATACATTACATACGGATTACACAAATGTTGAGTGGTTTTCCTTATGGTAGAACGCAACATGTAAGACGCATGTGTTCTAACATCGCTAGTGTTATACACTATGTTTCCATGCAGTTTTAGTTTTATATCTCATGTGATGTGAACGAGGACGGCAGTTATATTTCAATTAGTGCCACTTCTCCCTTTTTAGAGCAAAACTGAAATGTTACTGTGGATGCATATCTTTTAGAATTACCCAAAGGTCAGTTCAAAATTTTCAAACTACAATGGTGAGTTTGTCAGGGTTCAAATAAAGAAGGGAAATGTATCACTTCTCCTTAGCAGCTTATTTATTTCTTGCCTTAATTGCATCTGTAAGAGAGACCAAAAAGTTTCTGAGATGGTCGCTTTAATACTCTTCAAATTGTAAATTTGTGACAAAAGAACCAGGAAAGTGCTCAAATATTGCTGCAGATGCCGTATGATCTAATGAAAGCACAAATTAATTTAATCAGTCTTTGAGGAGACTCATCCACCAATGCAGAATATAATATCGGCCAAGTAGCACTGTTTACCTTCAATACTTCTTGTTGAAACACTTCTCTGTTGTTCTATCGACACTGTTGTGTATTAATTTTGAATTGTGTTATTGTTTACAACAAAGGTGGCCCCAGCAAAAGAAAAAGAATGTGGTATTCTGTGACTATCTGATAATTGAATTAGCTCTTCTTTATTGCTGAAAAAAATTATGTTTTGAGTAAAACAAAATCGTTTCTCTTCCATTTCTTCATCAGATATTTAACTTTCTTTCATTTACCTCCAGTGGTGACAGAAAAAACAAGCAAATCCTCCATGTGTTTTCGAGAAAACGAGGGTTTTATTTTGTTATACCTTTGCTACAAGTTGGCATGAAAAGCTACAAGTACCAAGCTACAAGTTGGCATGAAAAGCTAAATTGTCATGTTTACTGCTTAAATGTAATATTGAATTTTAAATGAACAAAAATCAAAGTAAAACACCAGAGTAAAATTTAAAGACTGTCGCGACAGACAGTAATAAAATATTGAGTAATTTTTGGACCTTGAATGAAGCAAAATACAACCATGAAACATACACACTGCTTAGGGGAAAAGCCTTAGCAGACTACCAAGGTAAATACAAACCGGAAGTGAACTGAGCAGGGGTGGAGTACTTGTGGGACTGCCATGCCAGAGCTACAGTATCAATACAATTGCACTCTGCACTATCTGAGATTGTCGCACTAGTTATTAGTTGTCGCACTAGTTGCATTAGTTGTCGCACTAGTTATTCATCTTTTTCGAAAACTTTTACAGTGCCCATTACATTTTTTCCTGTCACCTCCCCACAAAGTGAAACATTTGCGTCTCTCACACTTGTTTTGCGTGCGCATTACGCCATCTGCAAGTACATGTTTGCAGTTGGATTTCAGTATAATTTTCAATAGATAACAGCTAGTTTTTCAGCTGGAAGCCGTTAATAGTTAGTGGTTAGCGATATGCTGCTATTCTGGCATTCCTGGTTTTAGTACAGATTCATTAAACTTGATTTAGTCACAGTAGAAAAATTTTGCTTTCATTTTAGTTGCATACTTGATAACGTAGTTGATTACGTCACTGCAAACCTTAGCGGGTGCGTGGCTGTTAAACCATGCCTTGTGTGATGCACAGAACGTGTGTGCACTAACAAAAGTTGGCACCATCCTTAAGTCACTTCTATCCCAGCATTGATAAAATATTAGATAAGAAAAGTAAATATTTGTTGCTAACATAGCTTTCTGTGTCTCTATGTCAGTCTTCATAACTTGCTTGGCAACCGTCCAGAAAAGTGTGAACCATGGTCATGCATTACTGCTGCTTATGATAAAGGATTCCTTATCTTGGAGGTAAAGAACCTAAGAGATTGTTTAACAACTTGTCATTGGTAATGGTATTGCAGTACAACTTTGTATAGCAGGTACGCTGCAACGTTAAGATAGTCCAGGTAGGATCTGAAGTCAACCCAATAGCCCTCGGGATCATCAACTGTAAAGATCACTTTCACTTGTGTTCTCTGTCCTTTTCTTGTAGATGATCAGTATGGCTCAGGTCTAGAAAGAAACAAATTTGTCGTCAACACATTATTTTCCAAATTTTGTGTTTTGTTTATCTTTTAATTTAACTATAATATTGCTTTATAAGTATAATCCACAAAGAAAAGGTTAAATGTTTCAAAAAATAATGTCATATTGAGCCGAATACTTTGCATTTCTTGAAAATTGAAATTGTCAGCATGGAGTTTTAATACTACAACAAAAGGAAAGCTCACTGTCAGCAAAATGATGATGTTTTTTTTACATTTCTTTTCTTTTGTAGTGTGAAAATGAAATCAAGAGCTTGCGATCCAAGCTTGTGCTTAATAATGGGAACGATGATGAGAATGAAGAGAAGGGAGCAGGCGAGTTAGACAGTGATGAGAATGACGATGACGAGGATGATGATGATGATGAGCCAACTCTGATGTCAAGATCAAAACATTGTGCTAAACAGGTTTACTTACTAGTTTCCTCTTTTGTAATATTCCCATACGCTACAACCTGAGGAATTAGCAATACACATACTGTATTGTTCTTCAGCTTTTTTCGTAAACTTAGCTGAGATGCTTTCTTTACTATGCCTTTCAATATCGTGTGAACTCTGATGTTCAAAACCATAGCCTATGATTGCTTTTTTGCTGCCATTAGTTATAATTGAAGGTTTTCATGTAAAAAGGGCCTATATAGCTTTTTGGCCAATTTTTATTTTTTGCAGGATCGAGCTAATTTTTGGCAGACTGACTTGTTTTGGCATGAAAAGCATTGCTGCATAATCATTTCTGTTGATTTGTGCTTCGTTTCCGAGAAATAACATATGCAAAAAAACTCAGTTTTCCAAGTGGCATCTTTTGGAGCGAATCCTTCGAAGGTGGATTTTGACGCAACACGAACTTAAATGGTCACTTTTAGCAGCTTCAACAGCATGGTTTTTTTTAAATAGATGTTTTTATTTTTGAAAGAAGTAGAGAAATAGACCAGAAAAAAAAATCGACAGACCTCGTATCGAACTGGTGTCACGACAAAACAAACTCAAATCCGGCCAATTCAGCGCCTTATGTGCTTGTGCTAATGAAGCAACAGTAAGAGAATAGCGTAATTATATTGACTAATAAAACTAGCGGCAAATGCCAAGCTTCTATGAATTTATCGTGTAGCAAAACAAAAGGTTTCTTTTGTTTTTCATTCAACAAAAGATCTCCAAAAAATACCCTTGGAAAACTGAGTTTTGCATACGTTATTTCTCGAAAACGAAGCGCAAATCAACAAAAACAATAAATTACAGAACGATGCTTGTATTGTCAAAACAAGTAAGTCTGCCAAAAATTAGCTCGATCCTGCAAAAAATAAAAATCTGCCAAAAAGCTATATACGCCCTTTTTGCACGAAAGCCTTCAATTATAACAACAATCAGTAAACCTTGAAAAAAAGAAATCTTCCAGTCACAACCCATAGTGATAACCTTCTGAATGCCTTTAAGTTGATTGATGGCCAGGTAAAATGCAGTGTCTTGCTGAAAAGCAAAGTAAAGGGCAATAAAACTAGCATTTGATTGACTGAAAAAAAAACTATTTTTACTCAAAGCTGTATTTGTTTTGTATGGAGGTTATACATTCTGTTTTACCCTCATGCTGTTATCTTTTGGATGATGCTAGACTAGAATGTTCAGATTAAAACATCAAGTAGTGTGCACTAGAATCTAGCATTCTGATCATTGAGAAACTCTGGTCTGATCATCTCAGGAGAGTTGATGATATTGCAGCATCTTCAAGGGGCAGCTGCTAAACTGAGCTGCATTTGCCATGCTGTCAAATTACCATGACAGCTGGTTTTTTAATGAAATCTCCCATTGCTCTGATGACATACTTCAAGTTTGGCACCACAGAAGGTTTTTCTGTCGCTAATATTTTGCTACATGTATGTGCTGATTTTAATAGAATTTGTTTTTAACATAATAAGTTTTTGTTTTTAAGGTGATGTTTTTCCTAACTGAAAGTGAAAGATTTCAACCACCTATTAAGATACGCAGGTAATGAAAGGACTCAAGCTTTGTGCCCAGTTCACTTCAGTGCTTCATTGATGCCTCTATATTTTTTGTTTACTCCAGATGTAATTGTAACAATCAATTGAAAGAAATCTGCATGTCTTCGTTTTGAATAGAACTGCTAGTATTTAAGAAATAGAAACCATGTACCGTGTTTCTATTGAGTTACAGAAACATGAGTGGAAGTTTGGGAGAACGAGAAACGCTGTGGGAATATGAGCTGGGGGCAAGTGTTTCCACAGCTTTTTCGAGTTCTCCCAAACTTTCACGAGTGTTTCTATAACTCAATAGAAACACAGAGAACATGTTTTCTATTTCTTTTAAAAAACACCACGATGAAAAAAAGAGAAACAGCTTGTTTACTTTGATCATCAAAATGTAAATTCTCTTTGCTCATGCCTTCATTCGTCAACAGCTCATGCTAGTTCTGTGTTTCTATCGAGTTATAGAAACACGATTTTTAACCAATCGGCACACGTATTTTCTTAGGGCTGTTTTCTAAATAAGATTATAACCTGTTACTAACCGACGACTATGGCCATACTGGGGAATATTGTATATGTTTATATTAGAAGGTTTTTAACTGTAAAGAAACTCTTCAATTACAGTTTAGAAAATTTACTTATTTCTGGATGTTACTTTTCTGCAGAGTTCTTCACCGCACATATCGACTAGTGTGTTTAAGGTCCACGACACCTGAGGAACTCTATGCTAGGAAGGTAAAATTGTTCAGTGATCTTAACAGTGATTGGTTCTTTAGTGTTGTTTCTTCATACAAGATCTACCTTCAGTTCTGAAACCCTTTTTTAAAATGAGACATTGAAATTAAGGTTTTTTTGTTACTTGGCAGTTCTAATTTTCTATGACATTGAGCAAACTTTGTTTTGTTGTTTCAGATTGAACACGAGGAATATGGCGAAGCACTAGTCCTTGCACAGACATATGGATTAGACAGTGACTTGGTTTATCAGAAGCAGTGGAGGAAATCTAGAGTTTCTGTAGCCTCAATCCATGACTACCTGGTACATGTGATCAACAATGAGAATTTTGTATTAGTTTATTTGAAGGTTTTGAACACAAGATTATACAGATGTTCATAATATGTCTCGCTCTGAGAGCAGGCGAGTTGAACCAAATCCTGAGGAGGAAAGAAGGGGGTTTCTCAAACTCATTAATAACTCATCAAGTTTAAACAAAAGAAACCATGACCGTGACAGTGTTTGGATATCTGATCTTAATTTGCATAGATTTTTTATGATAAATTTTGTTTCTCCATATTCTCCTTAGTTTTAGTTTCAATTGAGGAGATATTTCAAACACTCAAGACAGTGTTTGACCACATTTCCAAACACCTTGAAGTTCGTCAAAAATACTCCGCTATGCATCGTAGTTTCCACTCTCTTCTCGGTGTTTGGAAATGTGGTCAACCACAGCTTTTCATGTTTGATATATTACATCATGTCTGAATGGGATTGTCTAGTCTAGTGCTGAAAATTATCATCAACTGGAGACATGTGACAGAGTATTATGGTATTATTGCAGAGTAAAGTCAAGAATCGTTTGTGGGTTCTGAATGAATGTGTGGAGAGAGTACCAGAAGACTATGAGGCTGCAAAACAGCTGCTGCGCTATGGTCTTCATGGAACAGATGCCAAGGTAGTGGACAATGTGGGTTGCGAAAAAGGACCCTTGCCATTTATTATAAAGGCAAAAGAAGATGAGCTTGAAGATGACGAGGAGAGAAAGAAGAAACGTAGAGAGCTTGAGGAATCCTTAAAGTTTGTCAGGTACTGTTCAAACACATAGATTAACACATCAAGGAAAACATCTGCTATAAGTAGCCCTGCTCGTAGTTCTGTTTTGATTAGAGATAAACAGAAAAAAAACAGTAAGTGGTCTCTTATGGGAGGTGAATTTAAGTTAAAGCATCAAGCTCCTTTTGAGTTGAGAGCTGTCTCAAAAGAGGTTTGGTATATGTATAGCAGAGGTTTCATTAAGGGCTGGGCACCAGGCAAATTGACCAGCTGTAAGGATGATTTTGCCCACCTAGTTGGACCATCTAGGGAAGGTTTTTTCATCAAAAAGCTCAGTTCAAAATGTTTCGCCCGCCTGTGAAAACCAGTTGCCCTTCTGCTAAAAACTTTAATAAAACCGCTGATATACATGTGCATGGGGATCCACCAGCACCCCTGGATAATCTGCAAGTGTCATGAATGAAACTTTCAGGTAACTAATTGCTTTGTGTGAATGTTGACTTTTGTTACAATGCAAATAAGAAAACTTACCTAGGAGAGGGCTATTGATCATCACCACTATAAAGAAAAAGGCAAGAAGTGTCCCCAGTGGACACTATCTTTTTGAGTAATTCAGGGGTATACATGTAGTACATGGTACTGTAAAATGCTGAAAAATGAGTGATGTAATTTGGATCAATCAAGAGACCTTTAAGTTTGATCATCCATTGTTTGGTTCAACAAGAGTTATTTATTTCTAAAGTGTATCATCTTTTGGATTAGGATTTTCTCAGGTTGCCATCTAATTTATGCACATGATGATGGGTAATCTACATTCTATTTTCTAATATATTCCTAAGCTATTTTGCTGATATTTATTTGAAGTAAATCCTTTTTTTATCAGTTTCAATCTGGAGCAAAGAGACATTTGTATGTACCGTCTGAAGCTTCTTCAATACCTTGATCGTCTCTCCACCTATGAAGTTATTTTAGGTGGACTCCACATAGCTCATGAGGAGTACTGCCACACCTTCTTTGAGAGATTTAGAGAGTTGAACATTATTCAAGCTGCTGTGGAGTATGCTAGGGTATGTTTACTATACATGGCTCTGTATGATCATTTTTCTGACTTGTTAAAACAGTTATGTGAGATATTTCTGCAAAGTGCAGGGAAACCCTACTGACAGACCATCAAAATCTACTTGCATTATAGTGGGTGGGTTCCAAAATAAGACAATGACTACATTTTTGTTGGTGGTTGTTAGGTACTTTTGCTTCTGATAACAGAAATAAAAGCCAACAGAGAGAAATCTGTCCATATTTTTCAACCAAATATCTCTGCACTGAGATAATTGCGCAAATTTGTAGCGATCATTGTTGGATTTTTGTCAAATTTGAGCTTGACAAAGCAGTGGACAATTTATATGTCCTCCCATTTTAAATGAAGCCTTTCCCTATGTACCTTGGGGTATATACTACTGATTAGCATACCACAATTCCAATATTATTTTTGTGTTATTTTTTTAGGAAGGAAACTGGGAAGCATTGGATGCAATCTTCACATATCATGGCCAAGAGACCCTTCCACACAGGCTTGCTATTCTTTCTAACTTTGATGAGACTTTGCCCCCATCGGAGTATAGATCTCTTCTTCCAGAGGCAGGGTGAGTGTTGTTTACATTACATATAATTTCTGCTTGGTTTTCATTACTTTCTTATTTTTGAATTAAGGTGACTACCAGTGCACGTATATTAAGGCTGGCATTATTGTGTGTACTTCTGCAGCTTGATCAATCTTTATGGTGTCTTGTAAAATGATGTTGTGTAGACTGATTGTGACATAAACAAAGCTGTTGGATGGACGTCAAACAGAGTGACTTAATTAGACTAACAATAGACAGATCAAAAGTTACTAGAACCGACCAATTTTTGTTGACAAACTTTACACAAGTCTTACAGCCAATACTATCAGAGCTTAACTGAGTGACCAATCAGTTTCAACAGGCCAGACTTACAATGCCATTGACTGACAAACACTTGACTCTGAAAATGACTTCGGGTCAGGTTGTTAAAACGAGAGTCGCCAACAACAATTGCATAAGAATTACTGATACTTCTGGTTTCAAACTATCTGCTATGAAACTGAAATTTGGGCGTATATAGCAATTTCATACAACAATTTTAATATTTTCAGGATTGAGCTAATTTTTGGCAAACTGACTTGTTTTGACATGAAAAGCATCGTTCTGTAATTGTTTTTGTTGATTTGCTCTTCATTTTCAAGAAATAACATATGTAAAAACTCAGTTTTCCAAGGGTATCTTTTGGAGATCTTTTGTTGAATGAAAAATAGAAGAAACCTTTTGTTTTGCTGAAGGATGAAGTCACCGAAGCATGGCATTTGCTGCTAGTTGTTCGAACCGGTACAAGTTTTATTATTCATATAATTACACTATTCTCTTACTGTTGCTTTGTTAGCGCAAGTGAATAAGGCACTAAATTGGCCGGATTTGAGTTTGTTTTCTCGAGACACCGGTTCGATATGAGCTCCGTCAATTTTTGTTCTGGTCTATTTCTCTACTTCTTTCAAAAATAAAAACATGTATTTAAAAAGAACCATGCTGCTGAAGCTACGAAAAGTAACTGTTTAAGTTCACTTTGTGTTGAAATTCACCTTCGAATGATTTGCTCCAAAAGATGCCACTTGGAAAACCAAGTTTTTTTGCATACGTTATTTCTTGAAAACGAAGCGCAAATCAACAAAAACAATTATGCAATGATGCTTNAATATTGTATATGTTTATATTAGAAGGTTTTTAACTGTAAAGAAACTCTTCAATTACAGTTTAGAAAATTTACTTATTTCTGGATGTTACTTTTCTGCAGAGTTCTTCACCGCACATATCGACTAGTGTGTTTAAGGTCCACGACACCTGAGGAACTCTATGCTAGGAAGGTAAAATTGTTCAGTGATCTTAACAGTGATTGGTTCTTTAGTGTTGTTTCTTCATACAAGATCTACCTTCAGTTCTGAAACCCTTTTTTAAAATGAGACATTGAAATTAAGGTTTTTTTGTTACTTGGCAGTTCTAATTTTCTATGACATTGAGCAAACTTTGTTTTGTTGTTTCAGATTGAACACGAGGAATATGGCGAAGCACTAGTCCTTGCACAGACATATGGATTAGACAGTGACTTGGTTTATCAGAAGCAGTGGAGGAAATCTAGAGTTTCTGTAGCCTCAATCCATGACTACCTGGTACATGTGATCAACAATGAGAATTTTGTATTAGTTTATTTGAAGGTTTTGAACACAAGATTATACAGATGTTCATAATATGTCTCGCTCTGAGAGCAGGCGAGTTGAACCAAATCCTGAGGAGGAAAGAAGGGGGTTTCTCAAACTCATTAATAACTCATCAAGTTTAAACAAAAGAAACCATGACCGTGACAGTGTTTGGATATCTGATCTTAATTTGCATAGATTTTTTATGATAAATTTTGTTTCTCCATATTCTCCTTAGTTTTAGTTTCAATTGAGGAGATATTTCAAACACTCAAGACAGTGTTTGACCACATTTCCAAACACCTTGAAGTTCGTCAAAAATACTCCGCTATGCATCGTAGTTTCCACTCTCTTCTCGGTGTTTGGAAATGTGGTCAACCACAGCTTTTCATGTTTGATATATTACATCATGTCTGAATGGGATTGTCTAGTCTAGTGCTGAAAATTATCATCAACTGGAGACATGTGACAGAGTATTATGGTATTATTGCAGAGTAAAGTCAAGAATCGTTTGTGGGTTCTGAATGAATGTGTGGAGAGAGTACCAGAAGACTATGAGGCTGCAAAACAGCTGCTGCGCTATGGTCTTCATGGAACAGATGCCAAGGTAGTGGACAATGTGGGTTGCGAAAAAGGACCCTTGCCATTTATTATAAAGGCAAAAGAAGATGAGCTTGAAGATGACGAGGAGAGAAAGAAGAAACGTAGAGAGCTTGAGGAATCCTTAAAGTTTGTCAGGTACTGTTCAAACACATAGATTAACACATCAAGGAAAACATCTGCTATAAGTAGCCCTGCTCGTAGTTCTGTTTTGATTAGAGATAAACAGAAAAAAAACAGTAAGTGGTCTCTTATGGGAGGTGAATTTAAGTTAAAGCATCAAGCTCCTTTTGAGTTGAGAGCTGTCTCAAAAGAGGTTTGGTATATGTATAGCAGAGGTTTCATTAAGGGCTGGGCACCAGGCAAATTGACCAGCTGTAAGGATGATTTTGCCCACCTAGTTGGACCATCTAGGGAAGGTTTTTTCATCAAAAAGCTCAGTTCAAAATGTTTCGCCCGCCTGTGAAAACCAGTTGCCCTTCTGCTAAAAACTTTAATAAAACCGCTGATATACATGTGCATGGGGATCCACCAGCACCCCTGGATAATCTGCAAGTGTCATGAATGAAACTTTCAGGTAACTAATTGCTTTGTGTGAATGTTGACTTTTGTTACAATGCAAATAAGAAAACTTACCTAGGAGAGGGCTATTGATCATCACCACTATAAAGAAAAAGGCAAGAAGTGTCCCCAGTGGACACTATCTTTTTGAGTAATTCAGGGGTATACATGTAGTACATGGTACTGTAAAATGCTGAAAAATGAGTGATGTAATTTGGATCAATCAAGAGACCTTTAAGTTTGATCATCCATTGTTTGGTTCAACAAGAGTTATTTATTTCTAAAGTGTATCATCTTTTGGATTAGGATTTTCTCAGGTTGCCATCTAATTTATGCACATGATGATGGGTAATCTACATTCTATTTTCTAATATATTCCTAAGCTATTTTGCTGATATTTATTTGAAGTAAATCCTTTTTTTATCAGTTTCAATCTGGAGCAAAGAGACATTTGTATGTACCGTCTGAAGCTTCTTCAATACCTTGATCGTCTCTCCACCTATGAAGTTATTTTAGGTGGACTCCACATAGCTCATGAGGAGTACTGCCACACCTTCTTTGAGAGATTTAGAGAGTTGAACATTATTCAAGCTGCTGTGGAGTATGCTAGGGTATGTTTACTATACATGGCTCTGTATGATCATTTTTCTGACTTGTTAAAACAGTTATGTGAGATATTTCTGCAAAGTGCAGGGAAACCCTACTGACAGACCATCAAAATCTACTTGCATTATAGTGGGTGGGTTCCAAAATAAGACAATGACTACATTTTTGTTGGTGGTTGTTAGGTACTTTTGCTTCTGATAACAGAAATAAAAGCCAACAGAGAGAAATCTGTCCATATTTTTCAACCAAATATCTCTGCACTGAGATAATTGCGCAAATTTGTAGCGATCATTGTTGGATTTTTGTCAAATTTGAGCTTGACAAAGCAGTGGACAATTTATATGTCCTCCCATTTTAAATGAAGCCTTTCCCTATGTACCTTGGGGTATATACTACTGATTAGCATACCACAATTCCAATATTATTTTTGTGTTATTTTTTTAGGAAGGAAACTGGGAAGCATTGGATGCAATCTTCACATATCATGGCCAAGAGACCCTTCCACACAGGCTTGCTATTCTTTCTAACTTTGATGAGACTTTGCCCCCATCGGAGTATAGATCTCTTCTTCCAGAGGCAGGGTGAGTGTTGTTTACATTACATATAATTTCTGCTTGGTTTTCATTACTTTCTTATTTTTGAATTAAGGTGACTACCAGTGCACTTATATTAAGGCTGGCATTATTGTGTGTACTTCTGCAGCTTGATCAATCTTTATGGTGTCTTGTAAAATGATGTTGTGTAGACTGATTGTGACATAAACAAAGCTGTTGGATGGACGTCAAACAGAGTGACTTAATTAGACTAACAATAGACAGATCAAAAGTTACTAGAACCGACCAATTTTTGTTGACAAACTTTACACAAGTCTTACAGCCAATACTATCAGAGCTTAACTGAGTGACCAATCAGTTTCAACAGGCCAGACTTACAATGCCATTGACTGACAAACACTTGACTCTGAAAATGACTTCGGGTCAGGTTGTTAAAACGAGAGTCGCCAACAACAATTGCATAAGAATTACTGATACTTCTGGTTTCAAACTATCTGCTATGAAACTGAAATTTGGGCGTATATAGCAATTTCATACAACAATTTTAATATTTTCAGGATTGAGCTAATTTTTGGCAAACTGACTTGTTTTGACATGAAAAGCATCGTTCTGTAATTGTTTTTGTTGATTTGCTCTTCATTTTCAAGAAATAACATATGTAAAAACTCAGTTTTCCAAGGGTATCTTTTGGAGATCTTTTGTTGAATGAAAAATAGAAGAAACCTTTTGTTTTGCTGAAGGATGAAGTCACCGAAGCATGGCATTTGCTGCTAGTTGTTCGAACCGGTACAAGTTTTATTATTCATATAATTACACTATTCTCTTACTGTTGCTTTGTTAGCGCAAGTGAATAAGGCACTAAATTGGCCGGATTTGAGTTTGTTTTCTCGAGACACCGGTTCGATATGAGCTCCGTCAATTTTTGTTCTGGTCTATTTCTCTACTTCTTTCAAAAATAAAAACATGTATTTAAAAAGAACCATGCTGCTGAAGCTACGAAAAGTAACTGTTTAAGTTCACTTTGTGTTGAAATTCACCTTCGAATGATTTGCTCCAAAAGATGCCACTTGGAAAACCAAGTTTTTTTGCATACGTTATTTCTTGAAAACGAAGCGCAAATCAACAAAAACAATTATGCAATGATGCTTTTCACGTCAAAACAAGTCAGTCTGCCAAAAATTAGCTTGATCCTGCAAAAAATAAAAATTGGCCCAAAAAGCTATATATGCCTTTTTTGCACGAAAGCCTTCAAATAGGACAGAAGAGTTTTTATTTAAATCCTTGTGAGACAGGGCTAAGGGTGTAGAAAATTGTTCTATGACTAATGGGAAACCACTTGATGACTGTGGTTTCCTAGGTCTCAAGATCTTGCATGTGATTTCTCACATTACGATGAACATTCTTTGCAAGTAGATGTTCACACCCCTATTATGCCGACAGCAACTCTTTTGCCTGCAGTTCTCATTTCTTATTATATATTCATCGTCTTATGTTATTGTTTTAGGTACTCATCAGATGATCCAGATATTTTAGAATGGGATGAGAAGTCCTGGAGAGATTCCGACTGGGTGGAGCAGGCTAAGTGCAGGCAAGCTTTAGGTTGGGATGACAGTGGAGACCCAGCAGAATTTATTTACCTTGAGAACCCTGATTTGCAACAGTACAGGTGGGTAAGGGCATGGCCATTCATTAGTGTTACATGTGACTGTTTCTGGTTTTAAAATAAACACAATGATTTAGCTGTACATAGATGTATTCAAAGTGTTGTTTAGGCTAGATGGTTGTGAAATGGTGGAAAATCATTTCATCTATTTTTTCCCGGAGATAGTTAAACCAACTACAATCATGGACAAAAGTCTTGGGACAAATTTGCACTTTTGGCGCTTTTGCGTACACGCCAGGCGTGAATACAACTTCACCTGCCTAACCTCGCCCCTCACCCCTCATGCAATGTTGAAAACTAGTACGTGCAATTTCACCTATTTTCAACATTGTGTTGGGTGGGGAGGGGGGACAGCAACCCGTTTATAAAGGATATATTAGCGTTTTCTCCATACTTCAGTTCTAAAACACAGATAATCCATTACATTACATAAGTGTCCCAAGGACTTTTGTCCAGGATTGTAGGTCTTCCAAAGTGCACAGTAAATCCTTTACAAGAATATCCCTCTTCATGTTGCTAACTTTATTGTAATAGTGATGGTAGCTTGAAGTGACAGCTGAATCAGAATTGTTTATAGAAGTGCTGGTAACACGAAATTTTCAGTATTAGAATATAGCAATTACATCTCTATTAGCAACGCCATAGCTTTTAGAAATTGCAATTCCCTTGGTTTTCCAGGTTAGCTTTTCAGAGCTTAATTTTGTAAGCATTGCTGCAGCATGACAGAGTGTGAGGGAAAATGTCCTTATGCCATAGTAAAGTAAATTTACCAACTAGTGAGTCTAGTGATGTTGCTTGTTATTCTGAAGGTGTGAGCTTTCTTCTGATGTTGTGACACAGTGGTACAGGAGCAGAGCCTGTGAGATGGAATGCCTCTCCAAGCAGGTGGTTGTTTTGACCTTTGCTCATAAATATACTTCATACTAGTGGTTGCAATCCATGTAAATTAATAAGGATTGTGCCCACAAGGAAAAAGAGTTTGTTGTGTGGATGTTATTGCACAAACAGAGCAGGTTGATTATGCCAATACTCATATACATGTATTCCTAATCATATGTTTCTGGTACACTTTGGTAGCAAATCAGGTGAGATTGGTTCAGCCATGGTTTGTATTTTGGTGAGACCAACCAAGCCTGATATGCCGTCAAAGTGTACTTAGAAAGGTACCATTAGGTATTTACCCCACCCACATTTGGCTAAGTGAACATGATATCATAGCCACATGAAGTCAGTGACTTGATATCCCAGGATATCAGGATGGTACACACACCTTCTGAATGGTTCAAATGTTGTAAACTTGGGTATATATGGTACTATTTATATGATTGCAGTGAAGTGACAAAGTTTATTTTTTCTATTGAGAATTTTTCTTAGTGTAGTAAATTGTTGCAGAAGATCTGGAATGTCCTGCAGCATTAGCAGTAGCTGGAAAATTTTGATATGTCAGTTGGCAGTATAAACATGATTTGGTGTTGTATTATTTCTGTGAATAGGTTGGAAATTCCCTGGAACTAATAAAACTTGGAATGGAAAGAGGCATCAAGGTAAATAGTCCCAAGAGTGATCAATCTTTTTGTTTTCAGAAACTAATTGCCAGATATTTTAGAATTGAAACTAGTTGTGTTTTTATTAATCCATGTATCTCTTATTGTTTATCTAGGGGCTTAGAGATCTTCATGATGACCTTGTTACACTTGAAGTGTTAGTTTATGAGGTAGGTTTCAGTCACATGGTCACAATCATGCTCATGTATCGCTGCTTCTATAATGTTACAGACACAGCCAATCCAACTTTGAATAGAATTAATAAGAAGGCGTGTTACAAAGGTGTTAAAAAATTTCCCCTTAATTGCTCCAGCTCAGTTTATAAATATTCACATGTTCACATCACAACACTAGCTAGGATGCTTACATGTACTGTAAGAGGAAACCTCCTATTAACAGGAGATTTCCTATACATTGTAGGTGGAACCCTCCCCTAAAGGAGCAATTTTTTAAGACAGCAGCTCCTAAAAGTTAATGTTGCTTTATTTATTACGCGAGCAAGAAAATTAGTTAGAATATTAATATTAGTTCCCATAAAGGGATACCTTTTTAAGAGAGCACCTCCTAAAAGTTAATGTTGCTTTATTTATTACATGAGTGAGAAAATTAGTTAATATTGTGATTGACTGAGAGCAGATAAATTTATCTGCGCCATACTGCACAGTAATGTGTGTGCACTTATGAAAGCTTGAGCAATTAAGGATTTACTCTACTTGTGTTATTTGAAAAATTCCTTTAAAGGCGAGTGCAATTTTGAGAGAATTTTTGAACGTCTTTTACTGTATATGTTATTGCACTTTTATTCATGTGATTACCTTAAAGTATATACTAATTTTGGTCTTTGCTTGTTTTAGAGTTGTGCAGATGTTTATCTCAGTTTGGAAACATTTCAAAGCATGACAGAACTGGACAAACTAAGGATGCTACTTAAGAAGGTATGTGGATAAATTTATTATCTGCTTAGTACATGCATGTTTTGCACTTTTGAGCATGGCCACTGGGTAAGTTATTTACACAGAAAATTGATCTCTGGTTTCTGTAAAGATTGCTTACATTCAGTTACTTCCATTTGTGTCCATCCATGAAGTGTGAGAAATTTAGCACTTAGTTTTACTTTTCAAACATTTAAGGTTTTGTCAGTTATGTGTCACTTTTGACCAATGAAACATTGACGGTTAAGTTGTAAACTTTAGGACGTTTGTGGTGCCATTCAAACATATCCTGTTCACCTGATATGTGAACAGGTAATAGACAACTTATTTATTTTATTTGGAAATTTTGCAAGTTGTAAATTATTTCAATTAAAAATTGCTAGGAAAATTAGTATGTTATCATAGAGACAATGAGGTTTTGTGCAAACCACCAAATACACTATGTCCCTGTTTCAACACTGCATTTTATTGTTATCTATGCCTGTATTCAAATATATGACTCATTTGCTAGTCAAATATTTGCATGCGGTTGTAGATCATAATTCACACCATTTAATTGATTGGTGAACATCATGTCAGTAATGTTTAAACAAATTGCTATAAGTAAACAATTGCCAGAAGCTAAGAGAGGATTGATACTGGCTCTTGTAGTGTTAGAATTAAGTAATCCTTAACATAACAGGAAAAGCGAGAGCAGTAACAGTTTTTGCAAGGTCCCCAGGCTTACATGATGACCACTTAGGCATCTCTAACTTGCCTTCTGACTGAGTGGTGTTATCATGAGCCTGGGTATCCTGTGGTGTATGACAGTGTTAGGATAGTGAATGACAATAAATTGTGTGTGTTGTTGTTGTTGTAAACTATTGTTATTTTTCTGCTGTGTTTTACTTCTTTTTTGTGGTTGTCTGTTTTACTTCTTGCAGCAAGTATTTTTTCTAATATTTTTTCTACTTAAGTTTTGTATATTTATATGCTAATTTCATGATTAGGTTGCCCATTTCACTGTGCTCTACCGTGGAATTCAGGTGTTTGACCCAATTTAATGGTTGAATATCTGGATTCTATTGTAGATTACATTGTACATTGAGGCATGGAGTCATGAGTTATAATTATGTAAAACAGTAAACTGGCGTGTATTGAAAAAGGAAAATACATTATGAACACTAGCAGTAGAGTTTAGCATGGAAGTAATGTTATTATGAATATATATTATGCTGTTTTGTTATGTCCAAGAGTTCTTTATGACCCTTCAGTTTTTGTAATGTACATTTTTCTTTTCTGTGTATTTCTAAAATGAATATAAAATATTAAAAGCTCAAACCCCAGTCAGTCAACACTTGTATCATCAGTGATATCTTTGGTTTCACTGATGACCTTCTTGACTGGGAAGTAGATAGTCACTGACAGTATCCTTGTTTTATATGATTTATCTTCACTCTTTATTAACATATCTGTGGATGGAAGAAGTGAACTCCGGGTCCAAGAAGCATTACTTGAAAATCTCCCCACATTGTTTTTCCTTAAAAACATAAATAAAAAAATAAAAAAGGAAATAAATGGGGAAGCATTGTAAATAACGAAACATTCAAAGTTATGTTGAGCCCCACTGTTGTCTGTAGCATTTTTCAAATCTTTCAACAGTTAACACAAACCTCATAGCTGTGTTATTTTAGCACTGATTGTCATTTCCTTGTACTTTTTCTTCTTTTAATTTTGAAGTCTACAGAGGAAACATTCATTGCGGACTTCAGGCGCTGGGTCATTCCCTTTTTGGAACGGCTTGGAAAACGTAAAAAGAAATCTCAAGTGAACCTGATCCGTCAGTATTTAACTGATGTTGCCAAGGTAGTGCGTTTATGTGAAGGGTTGACTTAAGTAAATAGACGTGCACCCAAATTCCTGCCCCCTCTTCCAAAGAGATATTTGGGCTTAAACCCAAAAGATTCCATATTGATGGATTATGAGTAGTGTTTGCTTGGCTGTACTGAATGTTGCAAGGGCATGAAAATTCTAAAACTGAGTAACAGTCATTAAAGGATAGTCTATGGATCTTTGAAGTCAGGACACATAAGGCAACATGTTGCTGTGATAGGTCTCTGTGGCAAAGTACTTTTACCATGTATAAATAAAGTTATCAACCAATACTCCAGGGGCAAATCCAGGATTTTTCAAAGGGGGCAGGGAAGGGGGTTGCAGCTGGTACCTTGGGGTTGCAGCATCAATAGGGCATGCCCACAAAATGTTGCAATTTGAGAATTGGGCCCTGGCTGAAAACTATTACACCAGAAATACTTGTCTAGCAAAAATGCTACAAAGTGGAAATTATAATGAGGTACCTATCCATAGTGTTTTCCTTTATTTCTGTCATAATATTCACAATCTTTTTCAATTTTATTTTTATTTTTTTACTTCTCTGAGAGGGGTGGCTAGCCACCCAATCCAACCCCCTAAATCCAGTTTAACCAGTCTACATATTCTTTTCTTTTTGTGCTTTTTTGCATTCATAAATAGATATTTTCACAGTTTACTCTGTACATCCTGGGAGGAGTGGGGAAGATTTGTTATTAAAAGTAGTGGATTGCAAGACAACACCTTCAAATAAATATGATAAATTTGCAAATTGTTTTGCTATTAATAGTTAAAAAGACATTCCTTTTTACTCCTCTAACTTTTCATTTAAGAGGTGGTTGCTGAATTCCAAAATGTGAGAGACACTAATTCAGATTTTGATAATGTTAGGCGAATGACTTATACTATATACTGTATTTTTTCTGCAGACAGACCTGACACATGTGTTGAAAATATTCCAGAACTCTACACCAGAGGTAACTAGGATGCCTTATTAGTACTATTGCCTTAGTTCCAAGTCTTGTTTAGTCCAGAAATGCTTGAGTATTTTCTATTCATAACAATTCCTCACAATATTTGGCAGCAGTTTGGTGAAAGGATATACATGTACATTCTAATGTTTAGTTCAGTTATATTTGTTATGATTTTATCTTCTCAAAAAGTAATCACCAAAGAGCAATTTCAAAATCACAATGGCTAAAACAGTTGTGTGCAGTAGTAAGGTACAGTGATGCCACTTTTTATCGTTTCAAATGTAGAGGCACTTACAAAATAATGTATTTGTTGTTGTGATTGCAGTTAAAAGAACCTATCATAGTAGATACAGCCCAACTTATGAAGCTTGCATTGGATTGCATTTATATCACTAAGAGGTACATTTCTATTCCTCTTTTAATGTACTTTTTAGTGAGATTTAATATTTTTTTGTGGTACAAAAAGGAAAGAGCCTGTTTAAGGTTTTCTGTTTGTTTGTTTTAATAGATTTGATCAGTTGGATTTGTCCTTCAGTATACTGGAATGTCTGCCAGCCAGCAACGAAGAGTAAGTCGAATCAGTCATTAAGAAAGCTTTATGGCGCGAGCAGTAAAACGCAGTTAATGGAGCGTGACGTGCAAACCTCGGAAACAGTTAGTTACTGTATATAATTATTGTATTTAACTATGTTAGAACGCTCTCAAATCATGTTTGACACCCGCAGAGATTGAGTGAGATCTTTGAATGCGTTATTGTGTCAAGTGTTGCAAAAGATTGTCTCGTCTTATCACAATATGATCTGCATCATGGCACCTTTCTATTGGTTACACCCATAGTCATGTCTAGCTATAAAAGCACCATTATTCGGTGTAAAAGCACTTCCCTTCGGTGATGTGCTGTACTCAGTTAGCTTTGTTCAAAAGTAAAGAAAATTCCTACCCTTTCTCCCTGTGTGGAGGATGTTTTGTTTGTCAATAAACCTGGGGTCACTTCCTTTGGGGTTAGCGGTTAAGTCTTCGGGTAGCAACTTCCCCCAAGCTTTGGGCAGTGTTTTGCCCCTTTCATTTGTGCACCGGCCGATAGTCTTGTCCGATCTGGTGCTGGCTTCCTCAGTGCCGGGGAGATAAGTGAGGCTTTCAAGGTCATGCGTTCTAATTTGACCTGCCAATACTCTTGTCCAATTCCAGTGCGGGGTAGTGCTGGTCATAAGTGAGGCTTCAAAGGTCAGCGTATTTGCTATTATTATATTGTGATCAAGTTGACCTGCCAATGCTCTTGTCCGTTTCCAGTGCGGTAGTGCTGGTGACAAGTGAGGCTTTAAAAGGTCACGCAAATCAAAGTCGCTTCCCATGCCAACCGCAAGGTTGTGTCCCCCCACATTATGCCAAATGATATGTGACTTCCTTATTTATTGATATATGTGCTATAATAATAATGGGCTATAATAACACACAAAAGTGAACTCTCATGGAACAGTGATGTTAAGCAGGTTTTTTTTATCATCACTGTCAAAACTAAATAGCATTACTATGATTTAGATATTAGTATAACCCTTGTATAATGAGGTAACCACATGTAAAAAATGAATTGCGGTCTTTTCACCAAAAGTCAGTTTGCTCGAATCCAGTTTGCCCGAATGGATAGTCAGTTCACCCAGACTGTTAGCCCCGTGGTCAATGGATTAAAGAACAAGAAATAGGCATTTTTGTGTAATTTTGTTTCATTATGCCCACAATGTTGTCTTTTTCGCTAGTTTAGTTTAAAGAAAGAAAAGTTAACACATCCTTCGGTCCTTGAACTTTCAGTTTGGCAAAGGGACTTCTAGTTCAGGCGAACTGGTTATTAAACAAAATGACCAGTTGGCTAAGACGTGCTGTTCAGTACGTCAGCCCCTGTGGCACTCTAGATTTCCTTTGCAGGGCTTAGCAAGTTCGCGGAAAAGATACAACTCTCACTGTTTTGCAAAGTTTCGGATAGACATTCACCACCCCTTGATTATTTCTAGGTTGGACTTGGTGACCACAAGTAATCAGTGATTAACTGTATCAACAAAAAACATCCTAGTCATCTAATTTCAATTTTTCCTTTTCACTGATATTCCATAAGTAACTACTGAAAATGTTAGTAGGCATTGCAGGTTTATGTATCAAAATCCATGTATTGAATATTGTATAGGACGTAAAAGCAAAAGCAAAACAAAAAACAAAAATAAAGAAAGAAAGCAACTGAGGTCTGTGATATTTGCTATTGTCCTCATATCACAACCCTACTATTATTTGTTTTTCATTTGTTGTATTTCAGTGTGCTCTCAGATCAGATTCAAGAGCTTAACATACAAGTTGATCAACTGGAGGTTTACTTGTGGTGAGTTTTATGCTATTATCTGCCTCAAGCAATCTTACAGCTGATGTAGATCTATCAAGATATTGCTTGCAAGACATTGGTATTGCTTTGCTTACAATAAATGTGTATATTCTTTTTATAGTGCCTGTGAGACCCTTGCCAAACATGGTCTTCAGAAGCCAGTGTCCTTTGTTCTGGAGACACATGTATGTAGAGTAGATCTGATCATGGTTCTGTCTCCATTGTTAAGTCTCCATTAATAATCGATTATTTGTCATAATGATTTTATTTAGCACCCTCCTTCCAATAAGCGCCCCCTTTCTGATAAGTGATCCTGCTCATGATGTTTTTAAATAAGTGCCCCTATTCCAGTAAGTGCACCTTCCAACACTAAGCAGGGAACAGGAATGGGCCAGTGGTGACAGCACTCGCCTCGAACCAATACAGCCCAGGGTTGAGTTTATTGTTAGTTTTCGCCTTGCTCCGATGGTTTTTCCCCAGGTTCTCTGGTTTTCCTCCCTCCGCAAGAAACAAAATTTCCAAATTCTGATGCGACCCGGATAGAAGACCTGCACGAAAACCAGCCAAGGCTGATGTGGCTTTTTCCCTAAACATTGATGTATAATTTATGTTCAAAAAGAAATAAGTGTCCCATCCCTTATAAGCACCCCTCTCCAATAAATGATATTTTCTACTTCGAGTAAACCACCAATTTCCCTGTCTTGTTGGTCTTCCTTGATACAGGGTAGTCTGGACGAAGCTAGAGCCCTTATGGTAACCTTAACGAAGGCTGCAGCCAAACAGTGAGTTTAAAGTATTAACCCTAAGAGCCTGTCAAGTACTAATAATACACTTTCTATAATCATAGAAAACGCTGTGCCTTAATTGGTCTGTTCATTTTCCACAACAACTTTTACAAGTAAACTCTTTCATCTCGCTTTGTATTAGGCTTGATTTCTCCCTAGATTATTTTCACTTATGTAGAATATATATAGAATTCTGGTCTTAATATATAGTTGTTTTTGTGGTGAAAACCTTTTGGTAGGAGTCCACCATTAAAGGAGAACAACTGGAGTGCACTTCTTGGTGACATGTTGACCCTTCAAAGAGAAGTTTACACTTGCATCGAGCCATCAGTGTGCTATGAGGTTAGTACAATATGATCATGACTCAGTGATATTTTTCTTTCCTGAGAAGAGAAATACAGCACTCACTGCAAGTGACGATAGCATAACTAAATAAATGTAGTCTCCTGACAAACACCATTCTTTGCATGAGGTCATAAATATGTGATACCATTCATACCTCAGTGAGAAGGGAGCTCTTACGAGTTAATTTAATGTAGGGTATAATTTTCCATTACAAAACTACTACACCATTTGTGCTGAAATTCAGCTTTATGATATTATTTCTGGTGGCTTCCACTGTCACTTTCATTTAAAAATGGCTTCTCAAAGCCTAAATGTATAATATGACAATTTCTGTTTTAAGATCAAGAAAATAAATATAAGAGATTCAAAGAGTCCACAATGAAGAAGTTGTTTCATCAAGAAATAAACAAGTATTTTTCAAAACCTTTAACTCTCAGATCTACACAGAGACTCTGCTCCACTCTGGTAGAAGAGAGTGTATTCAGCTAGCTGGCCAGATGATCTGCAAGACAGCTATGGAGGAGGACTATCCTGTACCAGCCAACCCTGTTCTTGGTCCTCGTATCAAGTGTACAAGAGGCACAGAGCTTGTTTTGGATGCTGCTAAAGAGTATTTCAACTCGTCTGCTGATCTGTCTGATAAGGTTATGGACCTAGCAAGGGAATGTTTAAATCTTATTGAGGATCGGTCACCTGCACTGCAAGAAGAGTTTGATTTGATTGCTGCCTTGGCATTGCTGGATGATTTTGGAATCTCAATTCTTCCTTTGCAAGGTATCTGATAAGGAACCTTAAGTATACAGGAACTAAAGTAATGGCAAAGCCAAGAATAGATATCTTTTGGTGTTTTTTTGCCTTTTTGACAATGTCCTTTATTGAACCACTTAATCTGGTATATTTTAAAGCTGTATGACACAATCTTTTATATTTACAAATCGATGTAAAGGTAGAGCTCGTATGAATTTTGCTACCAATTTTACTTTCAGTCATAATGAGTGTAAATGATTGACCTTGTGCTTCCCTTTGGTAATCTCATCAAAGACATGGAAAAATACTCGATCAAATCCAGCCAACGTATACAGCCTGAGCATTTGTGCTACCTTTGATTGATAATACGGGGATGCTAATTGATCAGAGGAATACAGAGCCTTTGCCACCTTTGCATGATAGTTTTCAAGGGTCGTCTTTTTAGAACAATAAAACAGGTACCCTGCACAGTAATACAACATCCAGTTGTGCTGACACTGCCTCGTTTTGTATTTCATTTCTTATTTAGTTCTTTTGCTAACCTTTTTACTTTGCTTGTAGTTCGATTATGTGAAGACAAGCTCACCTTGGTCCGTCAAATGTTAGAATCAACGACCACAGCTTACAAAAAGAAGAAGAAGGTAATTTAGGTTGCAATTCCTCTCAAAGTTGACTGCATCAGTTTCCATTAAATTCAAGTTTTGGTTACCGGAGTGACGTATTAGATTTTGGCAAATACAATGTACATGTAAGCTGGGCAGTTCTGCTTAAAACCTGATTATATTTTTGTTTTTGTTGACCCAGATCCTACATCTTGCCAGCTTGCTTCAGATCTCAGGCTCTGATGAAAAATCAAGGCGTGGCCGTGTACTGATGCTGACAGCTGAGTCTGCTATACAGGCACTGGACTACTCAGTTGCTTGTGAAATATGTCAAGGTCTGATATCAGAGGAATATGCTCCTGTGTGGACCATCTGCAGGTAAAGACACCTAATTTATCGTTACAAATGTGAGCCTGCTCACAGGCTAATTCATGATGGTAGACACATGGAAGAAGTTGCAGTCAATACTTTTTTGGTGATGTCAATACAGTGGAACCCCGCCTTACGGTCACCTCGTTATTGCAGCTATATTTTTATGTCCCGGCGAAACGCTCAGACGTTTCCTTATAAGAAAACCCGGTAATCCGGCCATGACCCCGTAAACGTTAATACGAAAACGGCCACATTCTGAAATCCCAACCTGTAAATCCTTTGTAATTTTACCCCGTTTATACGGCCACTCAAATCAGTTATGTTCATCTTTCCATCGTTAATGTTGTATGTACTGATTGAAGGTTCAATTTTTTAAAACGTATATCTGCATTTCGGATGCTCATTATTTTAAGAATTGTTGTTTACAAGTGCAATTGTGATACATCTGTTAAGACTTCACACAATTTAGACCAGTCATGAAATTTGTCCCTGCCCCATTAATTCGGCCACTCCGTTAATATGGCCAAACTTTCATGACCCGTTGGTGACTGCACTAACTGAGGCTCTTTTGTAACTGAAGAGATACTTAGTCTGCAGCTGTTTTGTCTTTCTTTTCTTACTTTCTAATGTACCATGCTTTAATTACTCAACCCAAACATTTGGTTAGTGTGTATGTTGTCGGTCAAGTTGTTTGGACCTGCAACATTGTAATACTCGTAATCTTCCTTTGAGGAGGAAATGTTGTTACAGATTCTGTTAACACTTTTGTTTTGTAACAGGATTCTTGGAGAATGTGAAGAATTCAAAGACCTGAAGGCAAGGTAATTATTATAAAGAAATAAAAAAAAATAATAATAGAGTGCAACACCTTATTTGTGGAGAGTACATCAAGTGGGGAATGTTCAGTCATGACTGTACAGCGACAAGTGTGAAAACTCTAGGTACACAAGTTTCCGAGCTTTAGCACTGACCGTGGCGTAATTAAAGAAGTAAAGTTAGTGGAAACATTCTTGTTAATTTATAATTGAATTTCTTCTTCGCATGACAGTTCGGGTAGTGAACTACACAGTTGTTTGTATTTCCTTTCTGTTGTTTTTATTTGGTGTGAGTTTCTGTATGCATGAAGTTTAGCTTTTGTGAAAAAAGATAAAAAAGTTAATGAAGCACAAGTTTAATATTATACCTCAAATATTGCTTGGGGTTGTCCTGCCATTATAAGAATAAAGAAATGGTCTACCTATAAATTTACCTAGATTTACTGACGTTTTTTCTAGGCAAAGTCTTCTTGCATTTACCCTGACTCACTGCTTGCCAGATGACTTGGAATCTGTTCTTAAATCCAGAAGTCTCCTAGAAACTCAGGTGAACTAGCTTGTGTTCTTGTGTGAAAAACATTGTTAAAAGTAGAAAAATGAAATTCATCGTGTGCGTGATAATTGTTATGTACTTTAAACTTACTTTTACTACACACAGTAAGGCTGGTGTTTCTTGCTTACCTACTGTATTTTAGAACTTTTAATTGATTCCGCGTTTTATGCGATGGTTGCACACGAGTGAGCTTTTTTTCTGAATAAAGGCCAATGCATTTAAGTCTCTGTACTATTTTAAATTCATGTTTATCTTTATTTAATTGTTTTTGAATTTTATTTCTCAATATGGCAGATTTTATATCAAGAGCTGCATCAACATATGCAAGTGACAGACGAGGTAATAATGTTTGGGTTTTTGGATTAAATTTGGGCACAAAACAAATGGAGAGGTTAAAAGTTTGTGGGGCTCTGCACCTACCTCCAACCTCCACACAAGCTTCAGTTTTGTAAGCCCCTTTCCAACCCTCCACCTCCAAGAAGAGACTTCAGGGGAGGATCGCGATCAGACCGATAGTTCCAAGACATAAACACTCTATGATCTTTCTTGTTCGCCACTAAATTTTCTTCCGCGCGCCAGTTCAAAAATCATATTGAATTATTTTCAACTTTTTTAGATGAGAGCCGTGAAAGCCAAATGTAAAATTTGAAAAATAAAACATAGAAATTGCGTCTTTGAAAATTTGTTTTTTATAAGCCCGCTTGTCTACACAAAAATTTTCACGGACGAGTACTATCCATCCGGGTATTTTCCTTCGACGGGCACTATGGGCAGATAGTGTCTCTCCGCCGATGAACACTATCGCGTCAGGTGATCAATTTAAACGAATAAGAATCGGAGAAGATGTAGTGGTGAACTATAAAGTCTCGCAGTGCCTCTCATCCCAGGTGTATAAATGGGTACCAGCGAACTTAATGCTAGGGGGTAACCCTGCTATGGACTAGCATCCCATCCAGGGGGGAGTAGAAATACTCCTAGTCGCTTCATGCTACAGGAAGTGGGATATACTCCGGCTGTACTGACCACTGGCCTGACGCAGATTTTACTTTACCTTACCTTACCTTCAGTAATTTTTCTCAGTTCCTAACCCCTACGCTGGCGCCAATTCTCTAGCAATTCTATGCGTGCGTTCCACCATCGAATAAGAATACGAGAAAATAGAGGGCTGTGAACAGTCTAAAGTAAAGAAAAACTATTTCACTTTCACCTGTTCAGACTACTGGTCCAATGTAGCAAGGTTATAAAGGCTGTGATCAACCGTCTCATGTGAAGTCCAATGTATAGTTCATCCTTCAGACGTGTAAACAATATTTATTTCTTGCTTATTTATTTGCTAGGAAACCAAGGACTCGTCTATGGACCAGGGTCTGTTGACTCACCCCAAGTCCCTCTTGTCAGCTGTTGGGGACCAGAAATTCTGGAAGAATACAATGAAGTGGATCAGACCTCTGCATGATGAACAGACCACACTATCAGACAGTGAACTAATCAAGCCAAGCTCACAGACTTTCAATACGCATGGGTTTCATCCATTCTACAAGTCATTGGTGGAAAGAAATGTTACAAGATCGAAAAGGGTAGGTTGAGCGTAAACGGGTAGTTATAATGGGTGATGGGTTGTGAGACAATGTAGGTTAGTGTGTACAAGTGCAATGTAGATTGCATGGGACAGTTTGTACGCATTCATTATAATTCATCTGCAAATAAATAAAACCTGTAGGAGAAAACACACGTGCAATCAAGAAGCTGAAGTTTCTTTGCTCCAGAAACAGTGCAAAAAACGTTATCAAGCTAATGTAATAAGTCTGAGGTTTTCATTCCTTGGTGACCAGGGTTCCCAGCAGTCTGATGAACTGCCTCATTGTTGTTATAAAATGGCTAAAACCAAGCATTATAACCAGAGAATGTTATGTATATGTTATGGTTCAATTTTATCATTGGTAGAATTTGGTTTTTTCCTTTGTTTTGGTGTATGGTGATATATGATAATGAATATAAAACTACGGGGAATACCAAGTTGTATGTACCAAGGGTAAAATTGAATCACAACACATATTTTAAGAATGGTTAGTTATGACGGATTCCTAAGCTCGATATGAGAACAGAACTCTGATTACATCTAATAATTAATTAATTTTGTTTTTCTTTGTTTAGGACAGATTACCATATGAGCATCACATTTCTAAACAGATGGCTAACAAGCCTCTGCTGTTCAGTCGCTGTCTGTTAAGAACACAAAAGTTGTCTGAGAGCAGGTCTGAAGGAGAGATTATTGAACCCAGTGGTGAAGGTACGGAAATGTTAAGAACGTGTGTTCAGAAATCAATCTGTTTTAGTTGTTTCAAAAACCTATAAGTGCTGTTCAGTGAGTGTTTGTAAGATCGGGCAAATTGAAAAGCAAGAAAGTAAATAAAGAAAATGATGACCGATTGATAAGATATTTTACAGCTAAATTTAATGTAGGTAGTTTTCAAGATTACCTTACATATGTATATTGCTTCTCTGCCGACTGAACCAGGATTTCTTCCCTGACAGCTTTTGACAATGTATGTTTGTTCCATACAGTTATGATCCGGTTGGCAGAGGCAATTCTAAAGGAAGACACAACGCTTGGGATTGCTTATCTACTGGCACTTCATGAGGTTTGTAACGCCCTGTCATGCAAAGTGTTTTTTAAAACATCACATTTCCAATTTTCCAAAGGAAGCATTTTCCAACAAATTTATGATCTTTGATATATTCACTTGTAAAAGGCTGGTATATAGACATATACCTGCAGTATGCTAGAATTGACGATCTGAAGTCTATATCATGATGCTATTTACTGCCAAAGACTGAGCAGTTTGTTCTCATGTGGTAAAGTTAAGCGATGTGGTTGTTAATGGTATTTTGCGTACCCTTAAATTTAGGTTTCTACCTAATGTAATTTATATAGTACACGAAAGTCTTTGTATTGGACCAGAACATTGACGAAGGAAAGTTTGCTTTCACAAATATTAAACTTAAACTCCATATGAACCAATTTCATTTGCACTGTATAGTTTGTACTGTTGTTCCCCAAAGACAAGCGCAGTCTCTTTGGTATGAGAGAGTTTTAAGACGTCAAGTTGACAGCTTATAATCCGAGCCATCATGTTGTTACCAGTTTGAATTCATAGTAAGTTTTCAGTGGTCGCTCTTTCTTGTAACCAGCTAACTGATATAACAGGGCATACCAATTTGCTATAATCTAGTTGCTGAAGTTCTTATCATTCATATTTCAGGCATCTGAGGTCGATGAATTTTTCAGCAGTTTTGGAAGTAGTTACCTGTGTCTTCACATGGCAGCATACTGCTTTGCGGTTAATACCTACACCAGCCTTCAACCTTCACTGTCGACTCATCAAGCTGATGTTTATCATCATCTACCCTCTGATCTCATTGATCATGTTATGAGTCACGTGACTGCTGGTGTGCACCATAACTGGTCTGAGGAGTCACAGCACTTTGCAGGCTTCCTGGTCCGGTACCACAACCATATGGCAGACTTTGCACAGGGACAACTGCTCCAGAGCTTAGGAAAGGGTATGTGATTGTAGTGACATACAATTTCCGTTTTATCCTGATTCGCCACCAGCTAGGCTCGATTTCCGCCCCTTTCTCGATTTCGGTCTACATTCCTCCCCGAGTAGAGACTTCAGGGGAGGATCGTTGCCTCTTTTCCCTAACAGCGGCTGGTAATCGAGCCGTCTCTTGAAAAAAGATGCAATGAATTATGGGAGTGAGAGAACTGGAGGAACCTCAAACGTCATCTCTGTTCCTCCTCCGTCTCCTTCCCATCATCCCCGCGTCTTCATAATCTTTTTTCGTGAGAAACGACTGGCGACAAGTCAGTCTTTTATCTTCCAACTTTAGGCAAGAAGCCATTTCCGAGTTGCTTTTTACCTCTGTTTCAAAACGAGTCCTGGTGCACACCCTGTCATATGGAAATGAGTTTGACTTGCAAGACAATGAACGTGCAAGAAAAATTCATTTCAATATGAAGGGTTGTGCACCAAGACTCGTTTTGAAACAGAGGTAACAGCAACTCGGAAATGGGTTATTAGAGCTCTTGACTTACATGGCTGGAAAAGGCCACGCATGTTGATATCCCCTTTGCATATGAGTTCAGTTGCCACTTGAGATAATCACGGCATTGGTGAGCAATGGAAACAAGGATCTCATATAGTTTAAATTGGGATCAGTTTTAACGTGTAATCATTGTCTATCCATAATTTGTAGTTTGGTGTTATTTGTAGGAGTTGACATTGGTCGTTTTGCTCAAGATCCTGAATATAAGCGGGAGACCATCCTTGGTTTAGCAATGTAAGTATGAATCTGTGTTGTTAGAAAGAGATAAATAGTTAGGAGCACAAGCAGATTTTTTAATTATTATTTTCTGCAGGATGTCTTTTAATTTTGCTGACAAATCAAACGATTTTCTTATAAAGTTATAGACAAAATAAATTTCCTATCGGTGAAGCAAATAACAGGTGGTTTCATGGTATTTCGTTCTCACACTAATTGATGTCTGAACGTGAACAAGCTTACTCGGAAGAAACGTGTTTCACAATGCAGTCTTGTTCCTTTCAGGGCACTTGAGGAAGAAGTATTCAACACAGCCATGTCATTAGCAGAACGTTATGATGTTTCTAAGTGGGAGATGCTTATGACACATCTGGAGTGTCTTTTTTCAGACAGCAAGTAAGTCAGAAAGGAGAATATTTCCTTTATGCTTGTTGCCGCATGCCTCATTGCTGTTTCAGTGTACTTATTTTCACCCTACCTAGATTATCCGATGAAACACTGCAGATGACTGCAAAAAAAAACACCTTCAATGCGCATTTGGCAAAGTCAAATTATTCTCGCATTTTGATTGGTTCTTAGGATCTATCGGAGGACAGACGCATAGATGACGTCATTAACATTCTTTTTTGTTTCTTTATTGTATAAAACAAAACAAAGTGAGTGTGTCACTGATGGTCTTACCACATTTTGACGTCATCTGTGATCTATTACTGAACAGACGCACGGGAACGTGGAATCTTCCTGTTAAAAATTTCGTTATAGCAATGTAAAAATAGCCAGTGGTTCCAAACTGAGTCCTTTGGCGTCGTTATAATGTAATTCACCGTAGTAAGACGACAGTGCACTCAAAAACCAGGCGTCAATTTATGGTGCGTAACATATTTGTTTTTTTGTCAGCCTGTCAACGAAAGAGATTCAAGAGAAAGTCAACAAACTTGGGATCATGGACACCCTGCTTCAGGATCCATGCAAAGTAAGTAAGAAAATAGTCATGCCTTACAGGCTTGTGGTTGCATCCTGATAGATCTGCCTATTCATAGTCATGGTACACAATTGTTAGATGTTGACAAGCGCTCTGCCTTCACAGCTCTCGCCCGTTCATGTCTTCCAGGTAGCAGAACGAATGCAGGAGAATGTGTATGTGACTATTGATGGCACCAAACATGCACGGTTGATTTACTACTACATGCTTCTGGAACAGTGTGAAGACAAAGATTCCACTTTGAAGGTACAGCGCTGTTGATGTGAGAATTCTCATAAGGGATTCATTACCTTCTTGATGAAGGTACAAGTAAATTGTATCTTTTCATGGTTTTAGGATAAAATAGTTGCTCAAACTCACCTCAGAATACTGAAGAAAATAAAGGCAGCTGCTCCTGGTAAGTTGTGATAACTACTGTCTTTCTCTTTCCACGTAATATATCAAAAACGAAAGACCGTGTTTGACCACACTTCCAAACACCGAGAAGAGAGTTGAAAATACGACGCGCAGCGGAAAATTTTTGACGAACATCGAGATGTTTGGAAAAGTGGTCAAATACTGTTTTGAGTGTTTGATATATCTTCTCAATCGAAACAGAAACTAAGGAGAAAACAGAGAAATAAAATCGTAAAAATCTGTGCTAATTAAGATCAGATATCATATCCAAACACCGTCACCGTCATGATAACTTTGATGAATTATTAATCAGTTTGAGAATGAAATTTCAAATGTTTAATGCGGCTTTTAAATTCTCTCCATGTGAAATAAAAGGCGTATTTCTTTAGGAAAGGACAAAGAGGTGTATTTGTGTTGTTAACCTGATTTCGGGTTCCCTGACATAAAAGAAAAATTATTTGTATCGTTTGTTTCAGATTTTTTCGATATTGTCCCTGATAAACTCCAGTGGGTAGTTGTTGATAAAGATATTTTTTAAAGTTGTTTAACATGCTTTGTTCTATATATCAATTTTGTTCCTGACATTAAAACACGATAGTTAAGTTAAAATTTGCAAAATAGAATCCCCGAAGGATAAGCCAGTTAATGAAGATATAAGTACCTAATGAACGTATTAAACTGCATTATTCTTTGGCAATTCTTAAACATGTGAATGAATGGTGATTTTTTCATTCAATACGTGATTTTCTCATTCCAGGCCTGGACTACAAGAAACTTACAACAGCAGACTCACCTCTGCAGGTTTTGAAGCCTGTGCTCACAAGTGCAAATGTACATTTGTTAGCTAAGCTAGCAACAAAGATACCAACCAAGGTGGGTTATTGTACCTCCTACTGGAAGAAGAGAAAATCAATTCTACAGTAAAGCTTCTAAAAACAAGAACGGGAGAGTTTTTCCTCCGTTACCGCCATTCGTTTCTAACATTTTAGCTATGGTGCAGTGTTGAACTGAGGCCTTTGATTTTTTCAGAGGTCACTCTGCCACAAACACTTGAGTCAGTTTGTCGTGTTGTTTCACTCTTTCAAAGCTTATCAAACACGTGTTTTGTCACAGGATGGCAGTTTTATAGAACCTTCAAACGTGTTTAGGATATATATAGAGAAGCTGTTTTGGGAAGGAGAACAGAAGACCAAAGAAAGCGAAGTGGATCAACCAGTAAGTAACAGATCGTTTTGTTTCTCTTTGCTACGTACGTTAGTAACTGTGCTCTTTAAGTATAAATCATTTCCAGTCCGTGTGCAGGTTGTTCAGTGGTATCACATATATTTAATTCATTCACCTTAAAAGACCTAACAGCAGTGCAATTTAAGCCTTAAACTCCATTCCAGTGACATTTGACCGTTCACCGCCTGTAAGTGCTAAAGGCCATGTTCAACTGTTGCCTTGTACGAGGTGACAATTAGTGATTGTTGACAAACGTAATAGTGTTAGTGTGTCGGGATGATAACTAGTGCCTTGTTAGGAAAGGCGTCTGCTTGTGGAAGATATACTAATGCAAATGCTGCAATCTGATTGGCTGAGCTATCGTACACTACCAGTCATTGGTGTGCAGTGGTTGGGGCCATAGAAATCTCGAGCTCCTAACCTAATTATTAATTATTATTTTTTATATTATTTTGTCACAGGTTGACTGGAATAAGCGTTATGACGCTTGCCACAAAATGTTAGCTCGTCTTTCAGCTCATGGCGTTCAACAGTTTGTTGATTCTGTAACATTCGGTGAATCAGCTGTGGATAACATACCAGTAGAGAACAGAGTAGAGATTGTCAACAGAGCTTTGAAATTTGCTCGACAGCAAGATGCTGCTCTAAAGAAGAAGGGAATCAGTGAGACACGGGAAGAAAGGTTTGCCTATTCTTTACTTGACAATTCATTTATTTTAATCTCCAATGTGAAGTCGACTTCCTGCTGTTGTCAGAACTGAATATTAGAATAACATTAGTTAGCTTAATTACTAAATTACTGCTGACGGAGGCCATGTACGTCAACTTTAATACTGCCTTGGTCTTAATGTCAAGTTCTGTGCTTCAGTCGTTATGTTTTTTCCCCATAGATCATGATTAGCTATGTATTAATTCGCAGCCTTAAGCAATAAGGTTGATATAAAGAAAAAATTCCACAGCCATTTTAACTTTAAGTCAAAGTGTGTGCCCATATCTATAGTAGGTCTAAGCCTAGTCTAGTCTTTTGTAATCAAGTCTATTGTAAGTGCAATAAGTACCGTATTTACTAAAGTATCCTGTTTTGTAAGCAGCAGATCTAATTGTTTGTAAGTAGCAAAAAAGTGTGTTCTAAACTTTGTAGTTTGTTTCAGTCATCTGCAAACATTTACTTGAAGTTCTCCTTGTAGTGGCCCAGAAGGAAACATGAGTTTTGAGCAAGTTATTAACCACTTGGAACAGTCCTGTAGACACCTGGAATCTCTTGCTGATTCACTTATTTATGAGCTGACTGAACATGATGAGGTATGTTGAACTCCGGTGAAAATTATCAGTGAATCACATCAAGTAAACAGTGTTTTGAGTCGATGGTGTAATGAGCAATAAGTTTGGTATATAACGTCACATTATGATTGGCATTGTAGATTTAACCTGTGAACGTTCCTGTGGAAAAAGTAGCATATTGAAGTAATACTGTTTTTGGAAAGTTATCTCTTGAAGGGATATAAAATGTGACTCTTTTATATTCCCCCATTTTACACTTTATTTTCCGTTATGCAATATGAACTTGGCAACATTTGACCGGTTTTTGCTCTCTTGTAGGAGATGGGTACAAGCTATGCTCGGCTGTATGCTCTATCCCGCTCAGAACCAGATGAGATATGTGACCTGGTGTCCCTTATGCTGATGGGTGGTGCATCTTTAGATACAATCAATGAGCTTCTCTTGCTTGCCTCAAGACAAAAACCACAAACAGGGAGGGTGGGAAAGACCGTGCAACAATCCTTAAAGGTTGTCCTGGAGTCTTTTAGGTGAGCTAATGAGAAAGGGTAATAACATAAGTTTCCCATTTTTTTCTTCAGACATTTGACTTGCAGGCCCTATGGTGTTTTTTTCTAACTTTTTTTGGTCATAACCAATCTTATTTTCAGACAGAATCATTAACCTTAAAAGTAAATCATTGAGGAGTAAGGATGTTTGCTTACGGGGAAAGAATGAGAGGCAGATAATTAATCTCCAGCGAGAACACAAAGCATTTACGAATGTAATAACTGTAAATCAGTTTCTGTTTGCTCTAAGGATTGTTCCAAAAATGCATCGTCTGCTGTGTTTTTGTTCTTACGTACTGTCATCAGTGTTCAGTAAAGAACTGTTTGTCTTTCTAATGCTACATAGAGTGACATGATTGAGTTTGACATGGCGTGACGTGGCTTGACGTGATGTGACGTGACTTAATGTAACGTGACCTGACGTGACTAAACGTGACGTGACATGACACTAATGTTGTCTTTGTCTTTCTTTTTTCTTATTCAGTGAAACAACAAACCCATCTCATCCATGGCTTGGCGACCAGAACCCAATGGACGTTTTACGCATAATTATAAACACGGTTAGCGTACACGTTCAGAAAGGAGGGACAATGACCACTCAAGAGGATGTGCTCGAGTGTTTACGACCATTTTGTGCGGATGTAACTGTGTCTGCTGCAATAAAAACCACTGTTCTTCAGTTAATGGAGGAATCTTTTGACCTCAGTGGAGAAGATACGTTTCTACTGTTGTTTTATCAAACAGATGCTGTTGTGTCCTCAACATGGAACAAAGAGGTAGCAGTTTCTATTGATATTCTCTCACGTGTAAAAGCTCAGTCATCCTTGATAATGCTACTGTTGTATGCTTACATACCCACTCTTACCCGTTCTCCGAGTGGACGTAAAGGAGTTCAGTCACGGTATTTTTAGTTATTTTGGCCGCATACAAAATTACCTTTAATAGTAGCTCACTGAGATAGAAAAACACCAAAGAGATATTAATGATAAACCATAAGGGAACAAGGATGGTTAAGGATGGAGAAGATTAACACGGACTTGAAAAATTTAGGCCAAACTTTTCAAGATGCGCAAACCGTGACGTAGCTCCTTTAAGGGTTGACCAAGGTGAAGACAAGTCTCTTTCTCCTTGGTACCAATACCAATTGTCCTTATCCATACAAGCCAACTTTTTTTCTAGAGTAACTGCCTTGAACAGGTGAGATCGCAACAGAGATTTTTATATTCCCAGTGACAAATAAGGTCACTCAACTTCATCTTAGCCTGCGAGCAGGCTCACCTTTGAGTCACACGCGCGAGCGGCGAAGAGCAAAGCGATCCGGCGGGAAGGAGTCTGGTGAAGAGGCGCCAAGAAAGCTCGATTTCGCGCTCACGGCGCGAGCTTGTGCTCCAGAACGTGAGCCTGCTCACAGACTAACTTCATCTTAGAAGTTCAACTTTTTTAATCGTTGTTTTTCTAATTTCATATTCACATTCTTGTGCAGCTCACACCAGAAGACATTGACAGTGACACTAAAAGACACCAGCTTTTTGAGACCCTCCTGAATGAGAGCCTCTCACTTTTTCAGCTCCTTTGTCTGGCGACCCTATTACAGATATGGCCCGTGCTTGCAGCTACCGAACTGAAGTACGTGTCAAAGTCGAGCTTTTGCTGATACAAGGATCGTGGAATAAACTATTTAAGCACTTTCCCTATTTTGTTTGTTTTTAACAGCGAGGAGCCATCAACTAACCCTTGGGTTCAACTCATGGACAAAATAATTCGTTGTCATGGAGATGGAGAACATGTTGTTGATATGCTGAAACAGCTCTGTTGTACTACAAGTCTCAATGTAGAGGTATGAGTTGTTTCCGAGTGGATTAGGGCCACGGTTATTTAAATACCCCCATGAGCTATGACTGTGGATGCTTTCATTATGCCAGACCGACCGGTCAGAGACTATCCCGGTCGGGACTACCCCAAGAAAAATGGAACGACATTTTCCGATCAAACCAGGCCAACCAAAAGGAATGGCTCTTTCTATTTTTTATTCCTTTCCCGAATTCCCAGTGTAAGTGAAAACTACTGAAGACAGGTAGGGCAACGAACCGATTTGACAAAATGGAACGGCAATTTTCGGTCCGACCGGTCCGACCGATCAAAGTGGACCACTTCGGACCGTACCGAACCATTTGACTTCCGACCGAAATTTCCGAAATTTTTGGCATAAATGAAAGCTCCCTGTGTGTCAATGAAACGACGTTTATACTTGATACTTATTTGTACAGTGTTGCTTTATGATTTGATATAATGAATCAGTTTTAATATACGGTTTTGTTATGTTCTCTTCTTCATAGACTTTTTATATTGTAGTAGTCATATGTTACGCAGGGATACTGCTGATAGTGTATAGTGCTGACAGGGCCACCTTGCATAAATAAAGATGACTTGACTATACTGTTTGCTGTGATAAAGTCATCTCTCTGAAAAAGTTGCTTGTTGTTGAACAGTAAGGCACTTCGGATGCTCATAATATCCGAATTACCAGAATAATGAAGTGATGGAGGTGAGATTCAAGTAATTAAGCCTTTGGAACAGAGTGAGTTCATTAATCCGTGTTTGCACTGCACTTAGAGCGGTTTTCATTCGAGTGTCGAAAACTTATTGGTTTTGCATCAACTACGCTACACGATTGGCTTAAAAAAGCTCGCGCCACTTTGTCATCCAATCAGAAGTAAAACCAAAATCAATCGCGACTCGTTCGCACACGTTTTCCCGCGCTTTGCGTCCACTACTTGTAATTACGTCGAGTTTTGATTGGTTCACTGTATTTTCTGTCCTTTTTGATTGGCTAGAGTGATTACTTTAGTTTTGGTTTTGCGTCACTCAATTGAAAACCGCTCTAAGAAGTTACATCATGACTTAGGGAAGAACCTTTCCCTACTGTTACTCCTGCTGATTGTGGTACTATTCTATTTGCAGTGCTGTTCTCATGTTTACAACTTGATGCTGCTCAAGTGCCGGACCCTTCATGCCTTAAAGTTTGCTTTGGTTTCAAAGAGTGAAGCTATGCATCACCTGGCATTGGAAAACATGAAGAATCTTAAGGTAAAC